ACTGTGGTGGATGACGGAAGAATCCTTTCCCTGGTGAAGAAAACACCCTTCACAACAGTTGGCCGGATCTAGAACACTCTCCAGGAGGTAGGTGTATCTGTGTCAAAGTCAACAATCAGAAGACTCCACCAGAGTGAATACAGAGGGTTCACCACAAGATGTAAACCACTGGTGAGCCCCAAAAACAGGAAGTCCAGATTAGAGTTTGCCAAACAACATCTAAAAAAGCCTTCACAGTTCTGGAACTACATCCTACGGACAGATGAGACCAAGATCATCTTGTACCAGAGTGATGGGAAGAGACGAGTATGGAGACGGAAAGGAACTGCTCATGATCCTAAGCATACCACCTCATCAGTGAAGCATGGTGCTGGAAGTGTCATGGCGTGGGCATGTATGGCTGCCAGTGGAACTGGTTCTCTTGTATTTATTGATGATGTGACTGCAGACAGAAGCAGCACGATGAGTTCTGAAGTGTTTTGGTCAATATTATCTGCTCATATTCAGCCAAATGCCTCAACTCATTGGACAGTGCAGATGGACAATGACCCAAAGCATACTGCAAAAGCAACCAAAGAGTTTTTGAAGGGATAGAAGTGAACTGTTTCTATGGCCAAGTCAGTCACCTGACCTGAATCCGACTGAGCATGCATTTCACTTGCTGAAGACACAACTGAAGGGCAAACGCCCCAGGAACAAGCTGGAACTGAAGACTGTTGCAGCAGAGGCCTGGCAGAGCATCACCAGGGATGAAACCCAACGTCTGGTGATGTCTGTGTGTTCCAGACTTCAGGCTGTAAATGACTGCAAAGGATTTGCAACCAAGTATTGAAATGTATAAGTTTGATTTATGGTTCTTATTCTGTCCCATTACTCTTGGTCCCTTAACAAGTGGGAGGCACATATGCAAACTGGTATAATTCCTACACGATCACCTGATTTGGATGTAAAAACCCTCTGTTTTTCTCTGTTTTTGCAAATGAAATCTTGATATATACAGGTCCTTCTCAAAAAATAAGCATATTGTGATGAAGTTCATTATTGTCTGTAATGGACTGATAAACATTAGACTTTCATATATATTAGATTCATTACACACAACTGAAGTAGTTCAAGCCTTTTATTGTTTCTAATATTGATGATTGTGGCGTACAGCTCATGAAAACCCAAAATTCCTGTCTCAAAAAATTAGCATATTTCATCCGACCAATAAAAGAAAAGTGTTTTTAATACAAAAAAAAGTCAACCTTCAAATAATTATGTTCAGTTATGCACTCGATACTTGGTCGGGGATGCTTTAGCAGAAATGACTGCTTCAATGCGGCGTGGCATGGAGGCAACCAGCCTGTGGCACTGCTGAGGTGTTATGGAGGCCCAGGATGCTTCGATAGCGGCCTTAAGCTCATCCAGAGTGTTGGGTCTGGCGTCTCTCAACGTTCTCTTCACAATATCCCACAGGTTCTCTACGGGGTTCAGGTCAGGAGAGTTGGCAGGCCAGTTGAGCACAGTAATACCATGGTCAGTAAACCATTTACCAGTGGTGTTGGCACTGTGAGCAGGTGCCAGGTCGTGCTGAAAAATGAAATCTTCATCTCCATAAAGCTTTTCGGCAGATGGAAGCATGAAGTGCTCCAACATCTCCTGATAGCTAGCTGCATTGACCCTGCCCTTGATAAAACACAGTGGACCAGCACCAGCAGCTGACATGGCACCCCAGACCATCACTGACTGTGGGTACTTGACACTGGACTTCAGGCATGTTGGCATTTCCCTCTGCCCAGTCTTCCTCCAGACTCTGGCACCTTGATTTCCGGATGACGTGCAAAATTAGCTTTCATCTGAAAAAAGTACTTTGGACCACTGAGCACCAGTCCAGTGCTGCGTCTCTGTAGCCCAGGTCAGGCGCTTCTGCCACTGTTTCTGGTTCAAAGGTGGCTTGACCTGGGGAATGCGGCACCTGTAGCCCATTTCCTGCACATGCCTGTACACGGTGGCTCTGGATGTTTCTGCTCCAGACTCAGTCCACTGCCTCCGCAGGTCCCCCAAGGTCTGGAATCGGTCCTTCTCCACAATCTTCCTCAGGGTCCGGTCACCTCTTCTCGTTGTGCAGCGGTTTCTGCCACTTTTTCCTTCCCACAGACTTCCCACTGAGGTGCCTTGATACAGCACTGTGGGAACCGCCTATTCATTCATAAATGTCTTTCTGTGTCTTACCCTCTTGCTTGAGGGTGTCAATGATGGCCTTCTGGACAGCAGTCAGGTCGGCAGTCTTACCCATGATTGTGGTTTTGAGTAATGAACCAGGCTGGGCGTTTTTAAAAGCCTCAGGAATCTTTTGCAGGTGTTTAGAGTTCATTAGTTGATTCAGATGATTAGGTTAATATCTCGTTTAGAGAACCTTTTCATGACATGCTAATTTTTTTAGATAGGAATTTTGGGTTTTCATGAGCTGTACGCCAAAATCATCAATATTAGAAACAATAAAAGGCTTGAACTACTTCAGCTGTGTGTAATGAATCTAATATATATGAAAGTCTAATGTTTATCAGTACATTACAGACAATAATGAACTTTATCACAATGTGCAAATTGTTTTTGAGAAGGACCTGTATGTATATATATATATATATATATATATATATATATATATATATATATATATATATACATACACAATGTGGAGTTATCTGTATTTGCAAATTAAATCTTTGTATTTAAATTTTATAATAGGAAATGATCTGTCAGTCTTTGTGGTGACGGCGCATAAAAATGGTCTCGTATATTTGCCTCAATAAAGTAAATCATGAACTTCCCTGGATTGGATGGGCAGATTGTCTTCTACTTTCTTGGTCTTAAAAATATTTTTTTTATTTATTATGTTTTAAAGATCTGCTCTTCAGTAAAAGTCACTTACCCCCAAATTCCACTACCTCCGCTCCGGTCCGCCCCCGCCTTCCGCAGCCGCTTGCTTCTGAACTCAATTTTTACTGGTGCGCGCTCTACAACGGCTCCGCTCCGGTGCGGAGACCTGAGGGGGGCAAACAAGCATGCGCGGGATTTTCGAGATCTTGCGATACAGTCCGAGCAATAAACGCGGAAGTTAGATCCAAACACCCGTTGTGTGGGAGAAGCATCGAAATGAACTGTTTAATCTGCCCATCATTTGTGTTGAGAGATCAGCAGTGTTTGGATCAACAAAGTGTGACTACTTTGATAGTAGAAACTGTATTTATGGCTTACTTTTGTGCATTTAAAGTTCAGCCGTCATTGATAGTTGTTAAAAGTTGTTAAACCTGTGCATATGAAACAAAAAACGCCTTTTGTTTATCGATTTATTGTGAAATAACGGAAGCTGTGCTTGCTCCCTTTCCTGTTGAGTGGTTGTGATTCCTGTCCATTGACTGCGGAGGTGTTCCGGCGTCCGGCGAAAATAGGATCAATTCTATTTTTGCCGGACGCCGGAACAGAGGGCGGCGCACTGCGCCGCAGCACAGCCGCAGTAGTGGAATAGCTCTGATTGACTACAACGTTACCGATTTTACTGCGGAGTTCGTGCCGGAGCGGAGGTAGTGGAATTTGGGGGTTAGGGAAAAAACATTCGTAACAAACACGTTGTAATACTTTTTTTTTCAGAATTTAAGTTATCTGCATTTTTTAGGCATATTAATACAAATCTGAACATCATCAGAGAGGCCTAGCATTCTGCTGGGGGCAACTACGGTCAAGGGCCACAGTGGCCCTCGCCCCACATGTTGGACACCTGTTGTTATAAACAGCATTTATAAAGCATTGTCTCTAAGATGTTAAACAAATTACTCAATCAAAATTATTTACATTTGAAGTCTAAATTTGAATAAACTATCATTAGTCTGCAAACTTTAAATTTACTGACATAAATTATCTTGATCTTTTTCTTATTGTTGAAGGGATGAGAAGGTGATTCTTTTTAAATAAATGTATTTATACTTACTAGAAATGTAGTGTTTTATAATAGCTTTACAACACCAAAAGTTGCACCGGAACTGAGCGACCGACTCTTCCAGTTTCATTTTCGACCGAACCCGATAGATTGATGCCCAGAATCGAAACCAAGCGGCTGGACGGTTTCCGTCTGGAGGAGCCCGCAGAGCCGCCGCCGCGGAGGACCAGAGACACGAGTCTCAACCAGATTCCTCCTGTTTTCTGTCATTTGCTGCGTCATTACGATGGAGCCCTACAACGCTGTAGCTAAACTTCACGAATATGCGCAGAAAAATCGTCTGTTGCTGAATTATGAGGTCCTCGGTGTTGAAGGCCCCGACCACATTAAAAAGTAAGTCGGTTCCTAACTCGACTGGTGTGTGGCTTCAGGGGAACTTAACACGTTTATGCCATGGTTCGAGTTGAACTTTCATTGTAGCGTCTGTTCTAGAAGCTAAAGACACGGACTAGATGCTACTGTGGGAGGTTTTAGAAAACATGCTGTAAAATTATTTTCATATTTCAGTTCAGCTGTCTGTGAATGTCCTAAAGCTGAACCCACTTCACGACGGCTACTACATTACCTTGCTGTTTAACCTGATTTGGTCACCGTTGTATATTTTGAGACTTTTGAGGACGCTGCTACCCAAGTTGGCCTCAAAGAAGAAACTTGATCATCATCATTGATCCAACTAGCTGAGGCAGATCTTCCTCAGAGGTTCTGGTCCATCCTGAAATCACAGCATCAGCTCCATCAGTGATGGACTGTGGTCTTTGATGGGAACCTCCAGTTCCACCACATCTCAAAGGTTCTGGACTGGACTATTGACTGGAGGTCATTGGAGTCCAGGAAACTCGTGGTCATGTTAACAAGTTAGAGCTGATCTGAGCTTTGGGACATGGTGCTGGAAGTAGCCATCAGAAGATGGGTCCATGTGGTCATAAAGGGAAGATGGACATGGGCAGCAGCCTGAGTCATTAGGCAGGATGGATCCATGATTTCATGGCATGGACACCAAATTGTGACCCGACCATGTGAATGTTGCAGCTGAAATCCAGACTCATCAGACAAGTAAAGGTTTTTCCAGACTAGTGGTCCGTTCTGGTGATCCTGTGTGTGTGTTGCTCATTTTGAGCTCTTCTCTGTAAATCCTAGAGATGGTTGTGGGTGAAAATCTCAGCAGGTTGTGAAACACGCATCAACCACCAACAACTATGCCACATTCAAAGCCCTTTAAATCTCCCGTCTCCAATCTGTTTCTCAGTTTGAACTTCAACAAATCGTCTTCACCGTCTAGAGGCCCAATGTGTTGTATAATTGTTGTGATTGTTTGATTAGCCATTTGTGTTAACAAGCAGTAGACCTAATAAAGTGGCCATTAAGTCACTTAAATTATTATGATGTTAATTATATGACTTCACAATATATTCCCAGAGTCCCCAGTACTTTGTTAGGTTATAGCATGTTGTGCAAAGGGAAAAAGAAAAAATGTAAAATATCATCTTTGTTTGCTTTTATAAATGGTCTTTTTGCATAAAAGCATTATTACAACTTTTGTTAGACGTTATCTACAGTCCTAAAGTGAAGTGATGATATAGTAAATTGTATGAATGAGAGATTGATGATATCATTTCTCCACAGATTCACTCAGAGAGTTGTTCTAGATGGCAAAAAGTATCCATGTGGTGAGGGGAAAAGCAAGAAGGATGCCAAGCAAAATGCTGCTCATAATGCCCTGAAATGTCTGTGTGAAGATGGACATCTGGACTCTGTAAGAATATTACCTACTCAGCAATTACAAATAACAAAAGCTCATTTCCTTTACAAAATGAAATGTTGAATTTACTTAAACAGGCTATATCAGCTGGTTCCAGTAAACCTAGTTGCTTAAATGTAAAGAGTAGTATACTGTACATGTACTTGTAACAACAACAGTGAGTGTGTGTGTGCATATATATATATGTATATATATATATATATATGTATATATATATATATATATATATATATATATATATATATATATATATATATATATATATATATATATCCAAATTTGAATACCGTCTAACTTCCTCTTAATTTTACCCCGGTATACGGTATTACCATGAATACTTAAAAAGTATGACGTAAGCCTCAAGTGGACCTTCACCTTTCTGAATCCGAATACCAAACACTAAAAAAATAACAACCTAACTCACATACTATTAACAACATTTATTAACACAAAAAAACGCAGCTTATAAACAAGTGCAAAGAGTCGACAGTCCAACAGCAATAAATCAACATGAAAACCCAGGACCGCTGTTGTGCACAAATCAAGTGAACAACTTACCAACGAGCAGCACGAAACAACAAGAGTTGAATAACCATAAACATTGAAATTATAAAAATTATTGCGACCAAAACAACTGAATTAAAATTATAAAAAGAAAACTCCGTCACACGGCCACACGCGCTCGCACACACACACACACACACAGGAGTGTGAACATTACGGCATGTTGCAGCAAATCTAGTTCAGATTTCTCGCCAGAAAAACCAGCATGTTTACTTTTTCTGGGTTCAGATTTGCACGTTGTGGACCAACAACTTTACCTGCGGTGCTGAAAACCCGCTCTGATGGTGAGCTGGTGGCACAAATACATAGATGCCTCCGGGCCAGTCGTGACATCTGGGGAAAACGACTGGCAGCATATTTCCACCAGAGAAGAGGGTCTTCGTCCCCTTGAATGACAGGTTCCAAACAACACGCTGTTATTTCAGCTCCAGCTCGCTGCTCTGCGCCGACGGGACCCTCCGGCGCAGCGTCAGCGGCTCGTTTTTGCAGAAGAGCTCCCAGAGACATCTTTTTGCGTGGGGGTTCAGGTTGTGCTCGTTCCTCTATGGTTCGGATGGCCACTGCTTCAGGTGCTGCTTGCCCCTCTAAGCTCACGATCTCAGCCTGTAGTTCAGCTTTGATTTCAGCCAGTGCGTTGTCATCAAGCTCATATCTGCCACGGTAACGAGGATCGAGGAAAGTGCATTTTTGCATTAATTTGCGCACTGAATCAGATTCATACTTGGCCTCCAGCTTTTTTAGAATTGTCGTTTTTATTGACTTTGTAAGCTGGAGGTCGTCTTCTGACACAGCCAACACGCTCTCCCTGCAGAGCTGGAGTGTGGGGAGGATAGAGGAACTGGTCACATAGTTTTCACCAGACAAAATATCAGTGAAGTCACCAACAGGTTTCAGTGCGCCGTTCACAGCTTTCAAGATACCAGTATCCTGCCAGTGCAGGGACAGGTTGCTGCTTCTGTCATCAGACAGGACGAGCTTGATGGCTGGGGCCTGCTGGAGGACGCGCTCCACCATTGCCAGTTTGGAGCCCCAGCGAGTTGCGCAGTCCTGCCGACGGACGAATGACGGACTAAATTAATAACTAAATAAATAAACGAATTATATTGTTAGTTACATGATCTAACGTTATCAGATTCAGATATAGACTAAATGTATGTTTACCGTTATGAGACTATGCTCTGGGCGTCCCAACTCCACTTGCTTCTTGTGGAGGTCACTTTTACGTTGCCAGCTGTGTGAAAATGCCCCCACAATGCTGCGGCATAATCCGAGGGCACGCTCAGTTTTTTGCTTATGGTCATGCGATGCATTTGTGATCGCCAAGTTTAGATTGTGACCAAAGCAGTTAAGCCACGCCCACTGCAGGGACCTGATTGCAGCAGAAATGTTTGCAGCGTTGTCGGTTGTTATGGCTGAAAGTCCAGCTTTGAGCGCAGCAGCAAGATCCTCCGCTGTGTGGCTCTCTGGAAAATAGGTTGTTTGGAGGCATTTGGATTCAAGTTTCCACTCAGGTGTAATTATGTGGACAGTCAGAGACATGTATGGTGTCATATTAACCGACGACCACATGTCAGTTGTTAAGGAACAATGATCTGCCCCTGACAGCAACGCCTGAACATCATCTCTGACTTTAACATACACACTTGGGATCGCTGTTTGTGAAAAATGTTTCCGTCCGGGCAGCTCGCACTGGGCATCTAGGACCGTTACCACGTCCTTAAATGACTTTTTTTCCACCGTGTGTGATGAAACCATTTCCTTTGCCAAATACGTTGTCACAGCATCAGTGCAGGTTTTCCAACGGAGACTGTTCCTTTTATATTTTGTTGTTTTGGCAAAGGCCCCCATTATTGCCGGCTGCGCGTAACTGGTGGTGGACTTTGTTGTTGGTCCTGGTCCTGCGTCGGTGTCAGTGAGAGGTGTTGAAACTGTTGCACTGACTGAACTCGGAGCCAAATTCACCCTCGTGGCAGTGAGTGGGTGGTTGATTCTGAGACATGTCCGTAGGTTTGAGGTGTTTCCATTTTACAAATTGCCTCGTTGGGATTCACCGGCTCTCCTTTGTCGTTTGGTTTGAAGCCGAAAAATTCCCAAATTGCAGAAGTTGTTTTCTTTTCGGACACCAAGTCAACCTGCCATCTTTCGCTCAGCCTTTCTCCTCCGCACTGTCACGTGTAACTTTCATAAACTTTATGAAATATCTCCAAAACTTACAAAACATTTTAAAATATTTAAGTAAAAACAAAAATTCAAAAACGCATCAGTTTTATACATGAAATGACTTTTATTGATCTTTTTAATTGATTTTTACATTTTTAATCCTTGTCTCCTAAGTGCGCGCACGCACAGCTGTTTTTCATGACGGTATTGGAAGTGACACGTAGCTATTTTGTAATGCTGCGTGTATACGGTAATACCGCCCAAGCCTTTTATATATATATATATATATTCTTGTGTTTTTCTTTTTAATTTATTTAAGCAATCAGGTTTAGTGGAACTAGTTGATTTAACTTGGTTAAGCATATTCAATCTTTTTTAGAGTGTACCATTTGTTTCCTTAAAGGTGAAATCCACAGAAATGTTTTTACTTTTTCTTTTTGAAATCTGTTAAACGTGCAGGCTAAATGTGAAAATAGTCTTCTACCCCTATTTCCTGGTTTAGCTTGCAATAGAAAACAGATAGGGATATTTGCACATCATAAGAGTGATGCACTGATATGAAATTTTTGGGCCGATATCCGATATTAAGATCACTGTTATGGCCGATTGCCGATACCGATTTACTGACATTAATGCTTCTACATTCCTCAGATGTTGTATAGAATAAAAATTATTAAAGCTGAATTTACGTTATTATGTACAGACATCACACACATTTACGCTTCTGAGATGATTACAATCACTGTGACATGACTAAGCAAACCCCCCCCCCCCCCCCCCCCCCACCCCCGAAACAAGAAACAAATGGTGACGAGATGGAAAAAATATTGGTTGATAATATCGGCCCGATACCGATATTGATGCCTATATATTGTCCATCCGTACATCATAATGTCAAATTAGCCTTCATGGACTCACCCATCTAGGCTCGTGACAGAGAAAACTGTTGTTGATTTAGTGTCCAGGAAACAGCAGAGCACGTCTCGGCTAGTAGAAGCTAACCATTAGCATTGGCAACATCACCACTCAGCAGAACTACTTCAGGCTTTTTTATTTGTGGAGATAGAACATCAGTGTTGCAGAGCCAATGGAATCAGTGGTAGAGTTGTGTCGGTGTTAGCCAGCCAGAGGCGAGGTGTTTGAATATCACCAGATCCTTCCATCTGATACTCGCCTCTGTTCTGGCTCACTTCTAGTTCCAGAAACAGGAGCGCAAGAGCTTTTTTTTTTTTACCTCAGAGATAGACTCAAACGGTGTTCAATTATAAGTTTGTTTCCATTATCAGAACTTCAGTGAGGGGGGAAATTGACCGGAAGATTTGATGTACCAGTCCTCTCAGCTCCTTTTTCAGCCCTTTCAGGACAATCACGACTGCTTCAGCAGGGAGTGAGGTCACTGACCAGCACCAAAAAGCATCCGCATTAACATTAATAACAGTAAACATTTTATTCTGTAGAAGTAAAGTATAATTAAACCCATTCAGAGGACAAGAGCCGCTGCGTGATTTAAAATGTGGCGTTCAATGACCAGAAGAAGCTCAGCTTTTTGCGGCGCCCTCTGAAACAGCAAAACGCAGTGAGTTACGTTGTTTGGGAATTCTGCCGTGTTCTTCAGTGCTGGAAGTTTGGTAGCAGCGGTTTTAAAGCAGCTCGAACGGTGCTTATCTGCTTTTTTGCTTCCATTGTGCTTCGCAAGCAACACTTCTGACGTTGGTTGTTTTGGATGGCGTCTACTGATGTCATTTCCTTCTGAGTTACAACCAATCAGCATGAGTTAAGTTCCACTCAGCTGCTCCACCAGGCCATTTCCAGGACCTATCCCTGATAAGGTACTCCAAAAGTTCCTGAAAATGGCCCGGTAAGTGGCCCGTTTGGCCAGCCCGGGGGAGTGGAGACACACGCGTGAATGCTGGGAAGTTCTGGTAAATTTACCCTGAAGTTCCGACAGTGGAAACCACTGCAAATATGTAGAAAAAACAAGTGAACTTGGTCTTTAATAAATATTTTAATATCTTGACAGGCAGAGAATTTAGCAGAATCTGTTGGTCAGACAGATATCAACTACATATGTTGGCTTAATCAGTATGGACAGCGGAACGGCGTAACTGTGACGCCTGTGGAGACGACAAAACTTGGAGCTACTAATGCAATTCTGTAAGTTTCAACCATCAGTTTATTTATGATCTAAAATGCATTTATGTAAACTATTGTCACAAATGTGTATCAAAGCCTTAAAACGTCCAGATGGAGTATCAGCATTAGTACCTTCATATCAGAAACCTGCCATATTCGGTCCTTAATCTACATACTGCCCCCTGCTGGAGGGTGGTTTGGCTAATAAAATTGTATTGCTGTTGCGTTGTTATATAATTACTCAGTACATGAAAACAGGTTCTTATATACTTGTTATTTAACATTAGCATTACAACATTTTGTATTTGCACTTTTTCTTCTTCTTATTGGATAATTAACAAGTTAAACTCTCTGTTTTAGTTTACCTAGGTGGTGTAAGTTTGTGGTTGGGGAGACAGAATACCCAGAGGTGTCTGGAAAGACGAAGAGGGAGGCCAAAGAGGAAGCAGCCAAACGGGTGTATGATATTATAAACTGTAATGGAACTGCAGAGGTGAGTACACACCAGTCGTTCCTGGTTTGATCATAAACTCAAACAAAGCCTCCACAGATCAGTTTCGTCCTTTTAACCATCTCAAATTTTTGTTTTAAGACCTCAAATGCAACAAGTCGACCAAATGAGAAATTCCCTAAAAGTATTTCAGACGTTTGGTGAGTAAATCGCAGTAAATGTGTTTTATTAAGCTGAGTAATCTCCGTTGTGTAATATTGTTTGTTCATCTCAGTGAAAACACTGGAAGCTTGAGCATGGACCCTGCAGACAACAGCTTTACAAAGACAAACTTCATTGGGATGATTTATCACTACTGTCAGAAAAAAAACTGCCGTCCTTCGTTTATAGAAGTAGAGAGAAGAGGTCCGTCTCATGATCCCTGGTAAGGAGGCCAGTTTTACAGTTATCACGCCATATTTTGAGTTTTATAAATGTTATTGCCTGATTTTAAACCACACCCACTTTTCTGTAATGCAGTTTTTCCTACAAATTAGTAATAGACAAGAAGGAATACCCTGTTGTTGAGGGCAAGAGTGTTAAAGAAGCCAAACAGAATGCAGCTAAATCCGCCTGGTCTGTTCTTCAGGAACAATCCGATTATGACAGCAAGGTAAATGGTGACATCTAACCTCTCAATGTTATCACATGCAGATGGACACAGCTGGAGATATTCTATCCAGTCTGAATCTCTGCTTCCACTGAGCTGATATTTAAGAGATTTTGATGACTTACTTTTTCACTCTTTATGTGCATTTCAGGTGTCTGTCAGCTCATCTGAGGGCGATGCAGGAATTTCATCACCAACACAGTCAACTCAAAAGTAAGGCACTCAGACAGAACCAGTTTAAAGTGACAGTGTGTAGTTTTTACCGTTAATCTCTGGAAATATACATCGAAATGTTGTAGTAAATGACTTAAAAGATGCCCAGTTGTTAAAAGATATTGGCAGTTTCATAATATATAACCATAAAAATCTGTTCTAAAATACATGGGAGCGGGTCTGAGGCCCAATCCCAGTACTCACACTTGCGCCTTTCATTTGCGCGTTCCCGGCCAGGGGTGCGAGTGCGTAGGGTGTCCCGATTCTCAAGTGCAGAAGTTGATCACGTCCCCATTGCACCCTTAATCTGCACTTCACCCAAGTCTGCAGCGATGCGGACCTTGGGCAAGGGTATTACCCACGAGCCATTGCTGCGGAAGAAAAGGCTTAAGTTCCTTTTCTGAAAATATGTATTTTCTAATGAAATTAGTTCATTTTAGGACGATTATTTGCAGCAATAAATGTTAATTTATTTCAAATAGCTGTTTGGAGATTTGTTTAAAAGTTGTTAATAAAGGTTTTTGAAAAAAGTTTCACAACAACCAGCATCACGGCATGCGTTGCGATCGATAACGCAATGCTCCCTGTCTCAATTCTGCAATTATTTGCACATGTGTACTACGCACTCGAACCCTACTGCGCACTTTCTCCAAGTGCTCTTTTCTGAAGTCCGCAGGGCGCAGTGTGAGTATTGAGACTGAGTCCAAGTCTCTGGGCAACGCCATATTGTTTCCTTCTATGGAAGTCTATGAGGACAAAATACATTTACTGATTTGTAACGAATGGTTACAACACTTTCACCATTAATAAACGTTGTTTTACACATTTACCTCTTCACTCATTGCCAGTGATGAAAGGGAATCTGATGTTCTTGTTATGTTGCTGGAGGTTGCACTCCCAGGGATTTTTGACCCTAAGGACCATCCGTTGGTAAGGTCTTATTTGAACACAAAAATAATGTGGAAGCAGTGATTTAGGTATCTACTGCCCCCTATCGCCAGCATCAGGGAGCCTTAGGTAACAAAAGTAGTCAGACCGTGGCGGTAATGTGGCGCAATCGTGTCCTTTTTAGAAAAAAGGGTATGGGGTGATCCCTGTGCTGCCGTAGGCTTCCGTTTATCTTGGACATAACTTGCTTTTTATTACGATTGAAGCCACGCTCATTAAGTTTTGTTCAAAAGCCGTTCCCAAAGGTGTCTGTCCTCCACAGCTCCCGTGCAGTCTTTGGTGATCTGAGCTCCAGCTCTAACGGAAAGAAGCTCCTGGAGCTCTGCGTCGCTCCAGTTGATCATCTCAGCATACTGCCTGTATTTACTTTAATTTTTAACATAGTTTCTGGCCGGGGCACGGCAGTAACTCCCCACGTGATCATGACGCCACCTTCTGTTGCACCAAGGCGTAAAATGCATTCACAAGTCTAGCGTTGCGGCAAAATCACTACTGCTTGGTGGCACGGATACAGCAAAATTCCCGCAACGCCATGTCCCCACGGCGCTTTGATAAGACACACAGTGGCGACAGTATTTCGCTGATTTGCTGGCATGGTGTGTCTTCTACAAAAGGCTAATCTCATTGGGGTGGGGCGATGTTTGTAGGGGGAGGACTCAGGAGTGTGAGACAAGGACAGCTGTTTATTAAACAACAACAATGTTGGAGTACATTTTGTTGTTTTGCATTTGAAGTTTTAGAACCTGATGAAAACCAAAGTAACTTCATTGTGTCCTGATATATAAAACTATAATTAAATTGCTGCCATGATTTGAGAATGTACTTATAATTTGTTTTTCAGAGACTCTAGTGAATTATCACAAAACACGAGTGACTCGGTGATATTTGCTGACTCAGTAAAGCCTCCCAGCAAGCAGGTTTGTTCTATAATAATTCAAATCATTTCTGAAGTGGTTTTTGTCGTCACCCTTGGGTAATCTGTAGGTGTAGGTTTCAAAAACACACACCCTCACTTGTGTTGTTTAGCATTTTAATATTATAACAAGATAATGCTTAGTGAACCGCTCACTTTAGTACTGAATTAAGATTGTTTAAATATTGCAAAGTTGAACATAAACATTGTAGCTGTAGTAAAATCCACTAAATTGTTCTCTTAGGACGTCAAAAGTAAAGCTACTGAACCTGCAGCTTGTACACCAGCTGAGCCAAGGTATGACAGAAACCTTCTGTTGTACTTTAGGATTCATAAAGGATCACTCTTGCCTAAACAGTCTTTTTATATTCTCCAGGTTTAAATCAGATTTTGAAGTCACCGGGCCACTTGGCAGAGGAGGCTTTGGTCGAGTTTACACAGTAAAGGAAAAACTGTTGGGCAAGAATTACGCCGTGAAGATTGTTCGCAGCACAAAGTACGTTAAAGTCATTTTATTAGCAAAGGCATTACAAGAATGACAACATGTATTTTTATTAATAAAGTCATTTATCGTCCCTTTTAGAAAAGCTTTGCGAGAGGTGATCGCATTATCGGACCTCCTGCACACCAACATTGTTAGATACTACAATTGTTGGGAAGAAGATTCAAGATACCAAGATGAGGACTTCAGTGTCAGCTCCTCTGAGTAAGCCTTGTCTAATTTCAAAAAGTTGTCTCTCCTTTTACAACCAACCAACCATGTTATCATTCCCTCTCTGTTGCAGCTCTAAGAGTAGCTCGTGTCAACAATACCTCTACATTAAAATGGAATTATGTAAACAAGAGACCCTTAGAGACTGGATACAAGAGAAGAACATTAATGATCTAAAAGGCCCACAGAGAAGAGCAGAAGGTCTTCCTATTGCCCAGCAGATAGTCAGTGGAGTCGAATGCATTCACTCCAACAACCTCATTCACAGAGACCTCAAGGTGACATTCTTTTTCAAATGTGTTGAATTTAGGAGTCATTAATAGTTTTTTTTTGTTTGTTTGTTTGTTTTTCTCATCCAGAAATGATTCAAATTTAAGTTTTCAGGCGCCTGAGTGGCTTCAAATATTCTGTTGTAATTAGAAAATAGTATAAATAAAGTTATAAATAATTTATACTCAGTTTAATTGTCTTTGTTTTTTAATCCTCAGCCTGCCAATATAATGTTTGGGAGCGACGGAACGGTGAAGATCGGAGACTTTGGTCTGGCCACAACTGATACAGATGAGAATGATGAAAACCTGCTGGAGAAGACTAAAGGAACTGGAACCAGATCTTACATGGCTCCGGAACAGGTGACTCCTTATTGCAGGATTATTGATAAATGCTATCTTTTTACTTCATGTCACAAATGTATTTCTACTCAGTTTGCTTCATGTACCAAGCATCTTTTTATCTAATGTTTCATTTCATTTCAAAGTCAAAAGTTTTTATGGCTGAAGAGCATTATGTAGCAATAAAACAGCAAGAATAAACGTGTTCTTTATCTCACAGAAGACCGGTAAAAAATATGACCGTAAAGTGGACATGTTCGCTTTTGGGTTGATCTTCTTTGAGCTTCTTTGGAAGCTCTCGTCCGGCCATGAAAGAGTCAAGGTGAGTCCTTCATAAAGAGGTCCCAGCCATAAACGTGAAGTTACTGACCACACATGTTACATAAGCCCCCTTCAGACAGGCCATGAAAAACGGAAATGTTCCAGACTCTGTCCGTAAGACCTTCGTGTCTGAATACAAACATCCGGATAACGTGTTCCGGAATTTAACCGGACGAAGCCCCTAGTAACAGGTCCGGGCTTGTCACGGACAGGGTGGCTGCTTCAGACTGGTGAGGTCGAGTTCCGGACAGGGAGGAGGGGGAGGAGGAGGGGACCGGGGGACGCTGTGCGCACCTAGATAGCTCGCTGCTGTAGCATGCGGCGAACCACGGCAGCTCACCTCCTACGGTACCGCCTAGACGTGCGACGGAGCGCTTCACACCGCTTCAGTGATTCCTTTAACCATTGAGCTTCATCATCCAGGTCTCTTATGCGTCTTCGTGTGCGCAGAATTATGCTTAAGCGCCTCGTGATTTTTATCTTGAGAGGCGCTATAGAAATGATATTTTCTTCTTCTTCTTCTTCTTAATATAAGTCCGATTCTCCCCCACCCCCCGCCGCCGTCAGACATCTGGAACTTTTCCCTGCTGTGTGAACGAAGCCGAAAGGACAAGTTCCGGTACAAAAGCGGTGTGTCTGAAAACACAGTTCCGGTTAAAAACCGGATTGAATTGTCCGCAAATGTTCCAGAATGTCTATCTGAAAAGGGCTTTAGACTCATGTTTGTTGTTTAAAACCTGGAGCAAGCCTGTTTGAAGCATTTTTCTTACATGTCTTTCCGTATTTGCAAGTTTAGTGTTTAGAATGACTTTGTTGGTTTATGAAACCAAACTAAATGTTTTTATTTCTTCATGACTGCATCATGGTTAATAGATTTGGGATGGCGTGAGGCAGAAGAAATTTCCGTCACAGTTTTTCCTGACTTTTCCACAAGAGGTAGATTACCATCTTCTTACTTAATCTGCTGATTTATAATCAAAATCTTATTAGAAAATGTTGGACTGTTAATAATGTTGGAGGATGACTTTAATTGTTAACACAAAAATCTTTCATTTTCCTTTACAGGATCTAATAATTAAATTGTTGCTGTGTGAGGATCCAGAGAAACGACCGGAAGCAACGGCCCTCAAGTCTGAGCTGGAAAAGTTAAACGCATCCGAACGTTTAAATCGGGAGAGTCGCACCGTCTGACTCATCGGCGTCAGCTTTTATCCTCCTGAAGAGGACAAATACAGATGTCGGGGGTTTGGTCGTCTGTGGGGAATGTCGTTTATTTTCGATGCACTTTGAAAGCACTTGAATCATGAGCTTTGCAGAAAATGAACAATCACAATTAATCAAACATGTGAAAAACAAACTACAAAATGTGTTTATTTAAAAGGTGTGCTATAGTTAGGATTACTTTAGCCTTGTGCATTTTAACAATTTAACAGTGGGTCTTTTATTCTTGTCTGAAAAGGTTGGGCTACATGTGAGTGCTTTAAGACCAAGAACTGTTGTATTCATAAGAGTTTTATTACAAGTTAGTACTTAAATTCATTATCTATGAGGAAGCTTAGCCCACGGTGCAAAAATCTAGTTTGGACGTCCTACAGACGTGGTCTGGACCGACGGGCTCAATATAGACATGATCTGCACATCCATGCAACGTTTGCAGGGTAAGAATGTGTTCTAAAAAGTGTTTGGTCTAAAGTGGTCATTTGCTTTAAAGCTGCTATAGCAATTTTGGAAAACAAATTAGCTTAAAAAAATTTTTGTACCTCTTAACAACGTTCTAACATATAGTTACAAATATATTGTGGAGATAAAAAAACACGAAGAAAATGAATGAAGTGGCTCTCTCGCATTTGTCTAAATACTTCCGCCAATAGTTGCGTTCGGACCAAAAACAACTATTGGACCATCCGGTTGTTAGTCTGGCCTAACCGCCTCACTTCCATGGGTCCTCCATTCATTACGCACTGGCGTTTTTAGCAACAGAACATCACTGGTGTGAGAGGTTCTCCTCCAGCTGGCTGCTACCACTTCAACTTTAGGACAAACTATTAATCCCACATAGAAAAAAACATTTAAAGACACAGACAACAAAAGACGTTTGGACCTGTAAAACAGCGACTGGTGTTTAGCACTATCTCGTTTCCTCCGGCATCGTGGGTCTTTGGTTCCGGCAGAAGCGTCTCAGGGAATACATGCGAGGGGAGGGGTTCCGTGACCGTGTTTGCGTTCAAAACCTAGCTTGTTCTGTAAATTTGCTAAAGCAGCTTTAACGGTTGATAGCATTTTTTTATCTTAATGGTGATGTGTTGAGCAAATCAATTAATAACCCAAGGAATTTGTGACAATTGTCAAACATAACCGTTAAACCGTAAGAGTGTATAAACCTTAAAGTGTCTAGATGGCGTATCGGAACTAGTACCTTCATCAAAAACCAGCCATATCTAGTCCTATACATGTATACTGCCCTCTGGTGGAGGATGCACACAGGTGGTGAGGGCCTATTTTATTTTAATAATAAAATAAAACGTATTTATATTTTTTTATGTCAGCAGCCAACAAATGGTTAATTTTAGAAAAACTAGATATTATATTTATTGCTTTATATTTGAGACTTGAAGAGGTTAAATATGGGTTGAGTTAAATACCTGTAATGTACCTGTTAATGTACCTGGTACATGCCTTAAACAAGCTGACAGATCGGCTTTACAAATTTAAAATGATTTGCCATTTCTTACCACGCTCTTTGTAGCTTGAAGACTGTTGGCTAGCCGTGTTCACATAACTGTAGGTTGGAGCGTTTGTGTTCTTTTCTTTATAAGGCTATATAAAGTGAACTGCCCCCTACCTATGTTCCCTCTTGGCTCCTAAATCCATCAACAGAAGTTATAATATTAGATTACATGGCCATGTTATGTATGAAACTCCTCAAATGAACTGGCTTTGGTGAAAATGCCTTAAAAGTTGTTGAACCCTCATCTTGATTTAAATTGCTGAGTCATTTACCAACAATGGCTTATTTTTGATCCAGAATAAGAGTTTTTAATTACAAACTGCACATGTCTTGGTACTAAGGGCTGCTGGTGATCATGTTGTGATCATATTGTAAAATTTGCACTGTACTTTTTTTTTCTTATGTTGTTGTTGTTGTCTTTTGTTTTGAGACTATTTAGATGCTGTATTGGCCCGGACTCTTGCTAAAGAGATTTTGAATCTCAGTGAGATTACTCTTGGTAAAACAAAAGTCAAAGCATTTTGAATGTACAGAATGATGACTGTTATGGAGGGTTTTTTTTCTCTCAATAATAAACTTCATTTAAAGATCTTTACTGATTTGTTGCTAATAACATCCGTAATCACGAGTCATTAGAATGAGAAATAACTCATGTTGTGATGTAAGGAACGTGGCTAAACTAAGTCCACTGGTTGAAGGGGTCACATGAGGTAGATGAATGTTATACCGGTAATCCTGCAACCCTGTGTTGTCCGATGTTCTCTTTCCTTGAGCACAGTTCTCCAACCTGAGAGGACATATAATTTCATATCTGCAGTTTAAATTTTACACTTGACCATCTCTTTATGATGAAGGTATTGGTTACTGTCAACACCTCAGAAGCTGGTGCATACAACTTCCTTTTTAAATTTAAATTTCTTTTGCATAACCCGTATTTCTTACCTAGGTTTTTAACCAGTATAACCCTACTGTCCATTTGAATGTGTTTGTCTTTATATCATGGACTAATTTGCTGTAATTGTAGTGCTTGTTTTGCATTAATGGGTGAGTTATTCCTTAGAGCTGGATTTTCCCCTCTATGGTTTTAGATGGGTGCACTTTTGGCATTGGAGAACACTAACAAGGCACTGATGATACTGGGGAACACACTTGTACCATCTGCACTACCACCTCTTGTGTTTTTTAAAATGGTAAAATCTCACTGAGACGGATGTCTTATTACAAAGACAACCTGGAAAACTTATCACACAGAGTAAAGTACAAGTCAAGTATTCTTTATTCCGCACCCTTAGTACATGTCGTAGAAGTCGAAAAAACATTGTACAGATAAGATTAAACAAATTAGCGCAAAATGACACTAAAGCGCAAGAGACAATCATGAAAAACAAAAACAGACAATAATAACAGTAGTGTAAAAATAAAGTATAAGTTATATTAACTTTAATCTAAAAAGAGAAAAAGACTTATGCTAGTGTTTCCACATCTTTGGTAGTGTATTGCACTGACACAGGTACTGGTTAGATTTAAAACAATCACATTATTAGAATTGTTCAGCCTACAAATAAGTTAAGTAAAACATTTTAAGGCAGCTTGTAGGGTGCTTACCCTCGCATTTACCTAAGTCACTTGCACTCGTCCATCTAGGCTTCCTCAGTATCAGATGCTGAGCATCATTATAGACAACCTGCAACCTAGAATGCTACATTTCTTATAGTTAGTCCATAGGTGGGCCGTGTACAATGAGCCTTAAACAAGGGTACCTTTACTTTAATCAAAACACGACCCAAACTTACGAGCGAGTGTATTTCCTATAGCATACATACAGCACTGCCTATGCCTATACATGCCATCACATCTCATGTCCTCTGTGATGATATGACCAACATATTTGACTTTCTTGGTGACACTAATCAGTTTGACAGATCTGGAAACTTAATTTGCTTGTCCTCCTTGGCCCGGCAATTCATAACCACGCTTTTAGCTGAATTATACGTGATGTGTTCTACTCCATAGTCAGAGCAGATATGTAGTAACTGCGTATCTAGTGAGTGACCAGCGGTGCTTGGACTTAGAACTTAGGGGGTAGCAGTAGCTCAGGAAGTTGAGTGGGTTGTCCAGTAATCGGCTCCGGACAAAGAATTCTGCACTTGTGTCCTTGGGTAAGACACTTAACTCACCTTACCTGCTGGTGGTGGTCAGTGGGACCGGTGGTGCCTAGAGGTGGGAAAAATGATCGATTCTAAGATGCATCGCGATTCAGCCGTGCATGATTCCGCATCGATGCAGCAACATGACATAATGAGATTCTCTCCCTATGTCTATGTCGGGGGTCGGCAACCCGCGGCTCTGGAGCCGCATGCGGCTCTTCCATCCATCTGATGCGGCTCTCTGTGCTTGTAAAATAATGAATGGATATTTAAATAAAATGCTTTATATTTTACTGCATAGATTTTACATCTGTATGCCAATTCTAAATGTAAAGACTGTCTGCGTAAACCTGAACAGGTCCAACCCGGTCTTACTGTGAGACCGGGTTGACGGGTCACGCTTGTGCGTAATCATATCGGCGCATTCTGAGATGACGAGGATGTGAGATGCTGGGCTTCTCCTCAGACGGCTCCTGGATGCGTCGCCATATTGGAGACAGGAACAAGCACTATTCAGCCAAAGTTTCATAATCAGGGAACATTTTCTAAGTGACAAGTCTTGCTTCAGTCGGAGGAATCTTCCCGCATGCGCTCTGGTTCTGCGGCGCGCTCCAAGCCCCTCTCCACATCTTCAGCTCGCTGTGGACCTCATGTAGTACACGCTGACAGTGAGCTGCGCTGAGCAGTGTCCAGCTCAGATGTTCAGATGGGAATCTTTTCTTGGGTGATTTAGCGACATGTGCGTAGAATAAAGTGTCAGTTCGTCTGCATGCGTCGGGGTAATTCTTTCTATTCTTTCTCCGTCAAAATAAATGGTCAAATACGGGAATTGTCCAGTCAATACTAGCCCTGCTTTTAACTGTTCTGTTTTCTTGTGAAAATTGTTGCAAAGAGATATAATTTAACTTGATTAACACCAGAGCCAGGCGCACTGCGCCGTTATCTCCGTCGCTGTAAATGAGGGAAAAACAAAATGATCGGATCCTTTTCTGACCTTCCCCACCTACAAAGTTTAATTACAACAATCAAACGTGACAGAGCCTGGATTTGTATTCTGAACAGTCTAAACATGTTTTAAAAAGAAACGTATGACAAAAGTGGCACCTGCTCAGTAAAACCACCAACAGGGTGAAAAATATCAAAATACTGTAGGCAGAGACAGGCTACAACTTCTGGATCCACTTTATATAAATCGTTTTATTGATTATCGTCTTATGAAAGATAACTTTGACGTACACGAGCGACCGGTACTGGCTGCTGTCACCTGTTGTGAGAAGCACTCTGCTGTCTGAAGGTAGGCCCCACCCACAACGCCGCAGCTGCTGTGGCTCCCAGTGTTTTCTTTACTGTGGGAAACGGATAACAATGGCTCTTTGATGGGAACAGGTTGCCGACCCCTGGTCTATGTCTATGTGAGGACAATAAAGTTTTGAGGTTTTACAATTACTTCTGGGGGCAGAGTTGCAATGACATGCACACTGCGTTGCCCTAGCGCCAATTTAAACACAAAAGGCGGACAGGGATACAGGGCCAACATTACCAGTAATCAAAGATGTACCCGTTACTTTAAATCGGATGTCTGGGCTAATTTCTGTTTTGGGATCCTGGATGTGAAAGAATCACTTAACACAGTATTTGTTTACTATTTTTAAGTTCAGTAATATTCTATCTTAAAGCTGCTCTACCGAAAACATTATTTCTTATATTATTTAAGTAATTATAGGCAGCACACTTTAAAAATTATTGCTCACTATAGTGAATAGATGAATTTTCTGTTTTTCAGGGATTTAGAAATCAAAAAGAAATTGAAACTATTCTACTGCTTTTATTAAGTAATGAAAATTTTTGTGTGAAGAATCGTGATGCATTTCAGACTCAAATCGAATCGTTAGGCAGACAATCGGAATCGGATCAAATCGTGAGGCAGGTAGAGATGCACACCACTAGTGGTGCCTGTGCTTAGCAGTCTCCCCCCATCTGCGTGCCCCAGGGCAGCAGTGGCTACACTGTAGCACATTACCACCAGCTTGTGATTGTGTGTGTGAATGGATGAATACTACACTGAAGTGTAAAGCGCTTTGGAGTCTTCTGACTAAAAGGCACTATACAAGTGTGGGTCATCAGATGATTTATGACAACACCACCCTCACAACCAGTCCTGCAGGCCTTTAACTTCACTGATAAATCATCCATGTACAGGTTAAAAATAAGAGGACATATAATGCCTCCTTTCCTGACTCCATTACTGACCTTTAATATCTCTGAGATACTGTTACCCCATTTTATCTAACATTTGCTGATGATACCAATAAACCAATAAATGTACAAGTATACATACAAAAACAAATCACACACACTATTAAAATAGTCTGTTAAGAAACTGTGAATACATTATGTGATCCCTCAACTTTCAAACTGGTAAATATTAGTGATGTGTCGGTCGCGAACGAACCGGCTCTAAGAGCCGGCTCTTTGAAGTGAACGACGGGAGCCGGCTCGTCATTGGGAGCCGTCCCCCCAGCCCCCCCACCCCCCCCCCCACCCCCCCCCCCCCCCCACCCACCCCACCCCGCCCCGCCTTGGTGAAAGCTACAGGCGATTGGTCAACATGTGTAACTGTGTGTCCAGACTGTCCACACACAGAGGCGGGGAAGAGGGAGGATCATACTCAGACACACAGCAGAGCACATGTGGGAGGAGGGAGACGAGAGGGAATGAGGAGGAGGAAAAAGGCGAGCGAGAGGGAGGAGTGTGCGACGAAGACGGTGAGAAAATGAGCGCCAGCAGTCGGAAAGTGGAGATTTCTTAAAGTGTTCAGTTATTAAATCCATAGAAATGATAAATATTTGATATATTGCTTTTTTTACATTAGTAAATTATTTTACATATAGTTTTGCATTATTTTGGTTATAAATGTACTCTACGCAACAGAAAATCTGAGGAGCCACTTGGGAGCCAAAAGAACCGGCTCTTTTTGGTGAGCTGAGCCAAAAGAACCGGCTCTCTAAAAGGAGCCGGAATTCCCATCACTAGTAAATATCGAGCAAAGCGTGGCGCTTTTATTTTTAAAAACGGAAATGAACCATCGAAATGAACCAGTTACGTGCGTACACGTCGCTTTTTGCTGGTCACGTGATTGTTTTCATCCAATCAAGACAGCAGACAAATTTTTCTTGGGTTCTCGCGCCTTGTCCTTAAACCAAATCGCGCGCGTGAGCTAAAGAGAGAAGCTGTAACTTCTCCAGCAGGATTCTAGCAGCAAAGTAGTTTCCGCTTCTGTAAATCACGGTCTAGATTCATCTAGGCTAGCAACTTTATCTTTTTTTCTCAGTTGTGTATCTGTTGCATCGTTGTGATGTTTGCAGCAGGCGCTGAACAACCCAAACTTGCAAAGAAACGTCGTTTGACTGATTCCCTGGATCGTGACACTTGTTCGGATGTCTCCAAC